AAACCATATCCGGTACGTTAAGGTAGATTAATAGTCAGGATCGCTCCAAGGATTGGATGTGGGAAAAGCTCAACGATACGAGACGTTTTCGTTCAGGCTTCGACGTGGTTTACGGAACAAGATTGTAAATGATCAATCAATAAGAGCAAGATTTGTAGTTGTAATAAACTGATAAGAGAATAAATAAGATAGGTTGCTTCGAGTATTCAAAGTTTCATTAGTACTCAATTGTTATATGGTGGATGTATTTATAATGTTACAAATGAAATGGTGATCCTTGAATCAAATTACACGTGGGCCGTGGCCTCATCTCCTTGGCCGAAACATCAGTTTCTAGCTATCATATTAACTTTCCTAACTTTACAAAGCATTAAATACTCTTACATTGACAAGACAAGACACAAACACACTTTTTACAAATGTCGCATCAATCATTCAAATAAAGATCTTCATTATGAGCAAATCCCTGCATGTAGGCCGTCACAGGTTGGGAGCCTCGGATCCGGAGGTGCCTTAGAAGTAACTGGGCCTCGACTGATAATAGGGCGTCATATAAAGGACCTCGGCCGATATTGGGCCTCAGAACAGAGGCCTCGGTGTACACAGAAAGATGCAATGCGGTTGGGGTAGATCGGATCTCACAACTTAATTACAATAACCACGTGACAGTCCATAGTGACGAGTCATAACATATAGCTTCATCTTTTTTGCTGTTTCATTTCAGGAGGCAAGAGCATCAGATGGGCTTCACAATCTAGCCAAGAACCAATTTTGAACGCATTTACCACAGCCAGTTATCAAATATCATCTACACGAAATTTGCAAGCTAGCACTAATATGAAAAGGACAGAACAAGACCATCACCACTTAAAGTCGATCATCAGAATCATTTTGCTCTTTTCTCTCTCAAACTCTTCGCCCACGCCTTGCCTCATCAATATCACTCTCCCTATCCTGATCTCCCAATCTTTTATGCCAAATCCAGATTGATATTTATTCTCGCGATTCCAAGAGGAAGCTAGGAGAACAAATTTGCAATCTTTCGTAAGTGATTGAAGAAGGTTGAGTCCATTCTTCACCTCAGCGTGACCAATCATCCTCCTCGTTAGCCTGTCCTGAAATATACCCAAAGAACGTGTAAAGTGGGTGTTGCATTTTAGGTCATTTGTCACTTTTTTAATGGACAAAAATTTATATGACTGATTTTATATATGTAAAACAGATTTTAGGCACTATGAAATGGGTATAGTTCCTTGACCAACTATAGAAGAGAAAAGTCCCATCAACAATTTTAACTTTTTCTTTACCAAAACAAGTGGAATAAGTTGAAATAACCTGGAATCAGTAGTCATATGATCAGAGTCACCTGAATCTGCGATCCAAGTGTTAGAAGAATGATAATTACAGGCACTAAAGGCATGGATATTACCAGTTTGGCTAAATAACAGGAAGGATTGCAGTCCTTGGGCAAGTACGTGGGTCGAGCTGATTGAGAATATTCTTTAGCTTTCAATATCTTCCATGCGAAGCCCAGTTCTAGTGGTTGGTGCATCTTGTGAGGCTCCAACATTAGAAGCAGCTTGATAGGCAAGTCCACTCTTCCTTTAATTTAAGCATGGACCTATTTTAAAGATGGAAGAGGATTGTTGCCCAATACTTGAACTTTCACTTGATCAAGTTCGGAATTAAGGTCAGCAAGAATCAGAAGCCTTTTTCAGACTCCACAAAATTCCCCAACTGCACGCTATCTCCAGCAGACTCCATATCTATTTTCTGATACAAATTCATTTCCGGCCATAAACTTCTCATGGTAATATAATATTGGGTAACAGTCATAGTAACTTATCCGGTATTGTGAATCTGTACTTTCAAGTTCATAAATTTGTACAGCAACCCCAATTTTTGAGTAACTCTGATTTTACAACATCCCAAATTTCTTTCGCTGTTGGTGAAGTCCCAACCCTTTTTTGATCTCAGGTAGCATTGAGTTTAACAACCAAGACTTAACAGTTGAGTTCTCGACTTCCCATGTGGCATATTTAGGATCTGCCTCCTTCGGCTTTGTGACTGCTCCAGTAACAGTAATTTGAAGGGTAGGATTATCATTCTGGAAAGGAGAACTGTGAAATGTTAGGGGAGTGTTTCCAGAAGATGACAAGTATGATCTCGTGGACATTTCCGTCTGTGAAGGAAACGAAGAGGGGTATAATGCAAACAAAATATTCAGCAATGGTGATGGAAGAAAAAAAATACTGCAAGAAAAAAATGGTGGAATTTAAAGGAAATTTTAAGAACCCGAACAAGCTCTGATGCCATGTTATAAATCATATTGAGTTGTGAAAATGAAAACACATCTTTTCCATATGGTGTGTTGCGTAGGGGTGAACATAGTTTGGTTTGGACTGTTTGGGGTATATTTTCTACTCAAACCCTTTAATGCGGTTTGGAATTTTTCCAAACCAAACCAAATCAAACCATTATTTGCGGTTTGGTTCGGTTTTAATCCACGGTTTACTTATCGATATTATAGTAATATGTTTAAAATGCATTAACATATAAATTTAAATGAGAACTACTAATGTTAAATGTTACGCACAATATGCTGATTCTTGACTAAACATTTTTAAACTCTAGATGTACCAATAAGAGAAATGCCAATCTTCATCCAAGTGAGTACTACATAACTACATTTACATGACTACCTTTCAAACACAGGTTAAAAATTTGAAGTGGATAGGATACTTGCGTCTACGGTAGTGGCAGTGGTACGACTGGCAGGAGAACTGGGGAAGTGCAAGAGAGATTGCAACAAGGGAGGCCAGAAGTAATAATAGAAGGCAAGTCTCATACTGGGGAGGAAAGGAATGGTTGGGTTAAGAAATTGATTTGGGATTTGTTGTGTGTATGTCGGTCACACAAAGATGAGCTCTCGTGGAAATGTTGGTGAGGCTACAGAATGAGGGGCCTGGGTTAGCAGTGAGCGGCAAAACAGCTAAATTTGGAGGCTGGAATCAACTCTGAGTTGACTGCAAAAAATTCCCAAGTTAAATGCTGTACATAATATTTGTATGAGAACAAATCTGAATATATGTAATTCCTGATCTGTTTTGAATTTATGAACCAGAAGAGTAGAAGACCAAGACATTGGGTACCATAATCAGAATTGCCATGGGAATGTGTTGACACCCCCTTTCCCCAAAAAAGGTAAAATAAAATAAGATGTCCAATAGCTTTGCACAAGTGCACCATTTGGCAACAGACATTCAAAACAGTTCTTGTCAGAATTCAATCAATTCACAAGGTGTACATATTCCAAGGGAATCCACATTAATTGTTTTAAAATATTTCATTTGTTACGGGGTTAATTTTGACCATCACTGAGCCTTTGGCTTTAATCTCTCTCAACTAGATAAAATGAATACCCAAACATGATGAATACAATATTAGATTATGTTTTGAGTGCTGTATCACTATCACTGTATCA